TGAATCTAAACCTGTATTTAAATATAAGATTTTTGGGCCCAGTTTTCAAGTTGGTCCAAATCAGGGTTCTTCGAAATGCTGAATATAACCATGTATTTGAGAGATTTAGGATTGTGGGCTTCTTTATCAAATTGGTCCACATTGAGGTCCAAAGGGTCCTAAATTAAACTTTTGTTTGATTTCATCAAAAAGTGAATTCTTGGGGTTCTTTGATATGCTGATTCTAACAATGAACTTAGATTATTGGATATTGGACCATAATAGGTAAATGTCCAATTTCAAATTTTTCAATTCTTTTGACCACATTCATTTTGTGTCACAAACATATGCTGTTTCGAATATTCAATCACAATCCAATTTTAAGCTTAAATGTAGTGTCCATACTTGATCAACTGTTCAGGGTTCGACCTCTGCAGCGTCTTGTCTACACAATGTAATGTAATGAAATATATCCTTTAATAAAAATAGATTATTATCTAATGAAAATGATATCTGCAAATCACAATTTCGGTTCAAAGGGAAATAACTCAATCATATAATAAGTATAACTTTTGGCTACTAAAAGGTTGACAACTCAACAACTAGAAAAGCTAAAATCGTGAAAATTGAACTAGACCTTCATTTAGTCATAGGAAACAACATATCTAAATTTGAAAAAAATTCCGTCAAAGCGTTTGCCTGTTAATGAACGGACACATCCTCAAATCATTAACCAATTTTTTTCCTTCGAAAATCCGGTTAAACATGTTCACCTTGATCACAAATGCCTGAACATTTATATTATATTAAACCCTTTTCTATGAAAGGAGGGTTTTTATCTGACGGAAAATTCATTTTTCGGATACTACCAGACAAAGGATATCTATATAGTAACAATAGTAAATTATATATATTATGTCCCAAGTTTATCTTACTATATAAATCCTTCAATAGACATAGGCAACTAGTCATTTTTAAATGTATAATCACTAAGTATTTCACTATGCTGAGCCTGGACTGATACCGTTATTATCACAAATGAATACCTGTAACAGAACCATTGGGATTGATTGCTTGTAGATACCATTTTACTTTTCATTAGTACTATTATAAATCTTTTAAATACTGAATTAAGTTCATGTTTGAGACATAATTTGATAAATAATAACACACATATAACAATAAACTGCTTCGCTGAGCGCAGCTGGATAAGCCTGCAGAGGTCCAACCCTGAACAGTTGGGGCAAAAATGGACACAATATTCAAGCTTGATACAGGTCTGAATTTGGATTGTAATTAAATATTTGACATATTATAGGTTTCTGAATAAATGTAGTCAAAGAACTTGAAATTCGTTATATGAATTGAATTTATATTCAATCAAAGATTTCTTGCTGTTGTGCAATACACTGTGCTGTTGCACAATACTTAGTAAATCTGTTGTCAGACTATAAACAAACAATAACTTCTCAATGTTATATCAGAAATTCATAAAAAACTAAAGGGAGGTTATCTTAATAGATATAAATCAGTCATCAAAGTTTAATGAAACTGCTCTAAGCACTTTAAGGATATTGTCCAAAAACTTGAAAATCAACCCTTTTTTATGAATAAAATCTTATAACTCGGAAACGTAAAATCTTAAATTTATAAAAATCAAAAGGGAGCTTACAACAATAGATATAAACAATTTACCAAAGTTTCATAAAAAATGTTGAAACCATTTTTGAGTTATTATCCGAAAACTGGAAAATCCCCTTTTTTGTAATGGATAAAACCCCATAAATCGGAAAACGTATAGTCTGAAATTAAAAAAAATCAAAAGGGAGCTCATGTCGATAGAAATAAACAATTCAGCAAAGTTTTCTTGCAAATTGGTGAAACTGTTTTAGAGTTATTGTCCAAAAACTGGAAAATCCCCCCTATTTTAATTAATAAAACCCCACAACTCGGAAATGTAAAATCTAAAATTTATTAAATTCTAAAGGGAGCTTACATCAATACTGAATAGATATAAATAATTTACCAAAGTTTCATAAAAAATGCTGAAAGCATTTTTGAGTTATTGTCCGAAAACTGGAAAATCCCCCTTTTTGTAATGAATAAAACCCCATAAATCGGAAACGTATGGTTTAAAATTTATAAAAATCAAAAGAGAGCTCATGTCTATAGAAATAAACAATTCACCAAAGTTTCTTGCAAATTGGTGAAATTGCTTTTGAGTTATTGTCCACAAACTGGAAAATCCCCCCTCTTTTAATGAATAAAACCCCAAAACTCAGAAACAGTAAATTCGAAATTTATAAAAAACGAAGGGGGGCTCACATCAATAGATATAAATAATTCACCAAAGTTTCATGCATATTGGTTAAAGCGTTTTTGAGTTAATGTCCAACATGTTGACGACGGACGGACGGACAGACGGACGGACAGACGGTCAACGGTATACCATAATATGTCCTGTAAACGGGCGTATAAAAACTGTTTTAAAACTATCTTTTCATCTAAAATCGTGGAAATTGACTCTATTTTTTTCTTTTCAATTCTGGCTTTTATTGAAGAAATACACACTTGCACCACTAAAACATAAATTTTCCTGAAATGCAAATTGGGATTTTATCAATAAAAATAATAAACTGTTGACACAGATATATGTCTTGATTTTTGTAATTTTGAAAGTATAATGCAAATGTTGAAACTATAATGGCAATATTTAAATGGAAACTATGCAAAACATTCATAGAACCATTACTGAAGGTGCAGAGCTAAATGACCTCCAAGGGCATGAAAAATACCAATGCTTATATAATCATTGATTTAACATTAGTGGTTCATCTTAAACTGAGCTAATTACAAACTTAAACATGTAAACTACTGTGGATTCATTTATTTTCATGGGTACCAATTTTCGTGGATTAAGGAAAACTTGCATGTCTGTGGATATTTAATTTCGTGGTTTTGCCGAAGTCTGCGTACAATCCTATAGAAAATATGTCATTGGTTGAACATTTAATTTCGTGGTTCACCTGTACCCACGAAAATTGGTATCCAACGAATAATAATGAATCCACAGTATGCAAAATATTCAGTCAATAGACCATGACTGAGGGGAGGAGCCAAATAATCTCCATGGAAATCAGATGAGCCAATGCTAATACATCTAAATACAAAATATCATTGACATGCACTAATGGTTTCCCTTAAACTTACCTAAATATAAACTAATACATGTAATCTTAGCAAAAGTTTCAAAGTCAATTGACCATGACAGAGCGGGTGGGGCCAAAAAATCTCCATGGAAATGATATGTGCCAATGCTAATAAAATTGTATACCAATTACCATTGATATACCACTAGTGGCTCACCTTTAACTGACCAATCACAAACTAATATATGTAAACTAAGCAAAAGTTTTAAAGTCAATAAAACATGACAGAGGGGTGAAAAGGGGGGAGGGGCGCAAAGGCTGTAAACCAACTAATTTTTGCGAGCCATTTATTTTCACGTCTTTTGCAAGCAGAAAAATTATGGGAATATAAATTGCCAGGAATATGTAAAACGTGGATATTCCCTTATATAAATCCATCAAGAAATTTTGAAAATCATGAAAATAAATAGCCGCAAAGTAGGCTAGACAGGCTAAACACGAAATAAAGTATCTACGAAAATAAGCTGGTTTACAGTAATCTCCATGGAAAAGAGATGTGTTAATGCTAATACAGCTGCATACAAAATATCATTGAGTGATTCCCCATAAACTGACCTAATCACAAACTGATACATTGTTGACGTCGCCAGAAACAGCAGGCCCTTTTTTCGACTTCGTCAAAGAAAGACAAAAATTGAAAATTTCAATTTCCTCAATTTCTGATGAAAAAATTAATTCAGAAACAGTTTTCGTTTTATTTATTGTAGTAAAAACTAAAAATTTAAAAATATTCCAGAATTACAAATGATTTTAAAGACTCCAAAAATAATTTTCAAAATGATTGCATCAGTTTTTAAAAGTAAGGGTTAGGGTAAGGGCATGCATTTGGGTTAGTAAGGTGTAATGAGTAGGGATAAGGCAGGGCAACAAATGTTGGTGCTTTATCAATTATATTATAAAAAGACTTCTTCCCGTTAATTGAAGGATCACAATTTGTGACTTTTTGCTAAAACAAATATTCTAAACTCAATTTAAAATTCAACTCAATCAAGGAGCTTTGAAAAAAATCACATTTAAGTGACAGAAAAGAGGATTTTATCAACAATAAAAATCAAATCAAAAAGAATAAATGAACAGAGTTCCAATGTCTCCCGTGTTGCACATATTTTATCTGCATGAGAGCGCTAAAACTGCAATTTTCATTACATTTCAAAGGGCATAACTCTTTTAAAAATATTTGATCTTCATTGATTTTCAAACTTGTCCAAGACATTGCTGATATAAATCTATGATACAAGTTTTATAAAAAATTTTCAAGAATTGTACAAGTGAGAGCCCTAACAAGATCGGACAGAAAGACCTAGGATTGATTCCCTTTATTTCTATGTCCTCGCAACATGTCGCATGGGTGACAAAGATTAGATTAAATAAAACTGCACATTTAAGTCTATTTCTTCAATTACAGATGACAAGATAAATTTGGAAACAGTTTTCGCCTTATGTTGAATATGTGTTATTACATGGAGAAGAAAACTTCCAATATTCCAAGTTAACAGAAATTGATGTTAGTAGTTTCACCTCCAAATAGTAATTTCACAATTTCTTATTTTTGTTATAAATTTGCAAAACAACCTTGAAATTAATCCATGGGTTAAAGAGAAATTTTTGTCAATAAAAATCAAAAAGTGAAAAGAAAAAAAAGTGTCACTCTGTCACGATTTCAGATGAATAGATAAATTTAGAAACATTTCTGTTAAATTAAATATGAAAAGGAAAGGGATGACAACGAAAACCAAGTGACATAACCCTGAAGCCAGTTGAGTACAATGCTGTTTTTCTTTTCATACATTTCTTTATTTTCAAAGTGCTTGATGAATTTTTCTAAAATTTTATTGTTATCTGTAACAGTTTCATGATTAGATGCCAGGTAAAGTTATACTCTGAGAAAAGAGGATGATAGCTATATACAGTCATGTTACTACAATGCTTTAACAATATATTGCATAGATTTAATCTTTCACAAGGCGATAAATATGATGTTGTGCACCATGTTCATTTGTTGAAACTTCAAAAACATATGCAATGCATAATAATGTCTCTTGTGTATCTCTGTTTGACACAACCTGAAAAAACAAGTTTTTACTATGAATGAATCAAAGAGAATATTTCATATAAATGCAAGCAAATCAAATAAAAATCCACAAGTTTTCTAATTTTATTCATTATGGGCAGATTCTGTTTTAACTTGTCAACAGAAATTTTAAACTACCAGTATTTTCTAAGATAATGCAGGGTCCATCCAGTATTGGTATCAATACAAAACTACAAAGAGTGCTAAAATGGTATCTATGTATTATATATATATTGATCTAAATATTATCAGATTTTAAAAACAGCATGCTGATTTGATTGGTATATTTAAGGACCTGAATAATATAGAGAACCCTTTTAAAACTCAATTCAGATTAAAATAAAATGCTCCGCTGGATCTCAGCTTGATACAACTGCGGAGGTCGAACACTGAACAGTTGTGGCAAATATAGACACGTAACATTCAAGCTTGACATCCAATATCAAAACACACGGTTAGATTCAGCATATAAAAAAAAAACATATATATTCAATTTTGTTGAAATCAAACAAAGAGCCCAATTTGGACCAACTTGAAAACTGGGCCCAAAATCCAATAAAATGCTTCGCTGAGCGCAGCCTGATATGACCGCAGAGGTCAAACCCTGAACAGTTGGGGCAAATTTGGACACAATATTCAAGCTTGATACTGTCTGAATTTGGATTGTGATCAAATTTTTGACATAATATAGGTTTCTGACACAAAAAAAAAATGTGGTCAAAGATCTTAAAAATCTATTGAAATTTGAAAAATTTTGAAGAAATGTAGTATTGAACCTTGTAGTACAATTTTAGAGAGATCCACACACTTAGTTGTCTGGAAACTAGAAAAATGCTTGTTTTTGGCCCCTTTTTTGCCCCTGATTCCTGCATGTATGGGGCAATTACCCCCAAACTCAATCTCAGCCTTCCCTTTGAGATATGGAACCTTGTGGTACAATGTCAGAGAGATCCATACACTTACACACAAGTTATTGTCTGAAAACTAGAAAAATGCTTGTTTTAGACCCTTTTTGGCCCCTAATTCCTGAACGGTTTGGGCAATTACCCCCAAAATGAATCCCAACCTTCTACTTGTGGTATTGAACCTTGTGGTACAATTTCAGAATACTTATACACAAGTTATTGTCCTGCAACTAGAAAAATGCTTGTTTTGGGCCCATTTTTGGCCCCTAATTACTAAACGGTTCGGACCATCACCCCCAAATTCAATCCCAACCTTCCTTTTGTGGTATTGAACCTTTTGATTAAATTTCATAGAGATCCATACACTTAAACTAAAATTATTGTCCGGAAAACAAATGTCTTCGGACGGAGACAACGACATGATACCAATATACGACCCCCAAATATCTTTGCGGTCGTATAAAAACTGAGCAGAGGTTCCATATACCTGGTTCTTCCCTATGTATCTGCCAAAAATAATGACAAGAAATATATTCATTGAAAAACAAACAAAATCATGCTCTTCTCAACCTGTTCATAACATCTTTACACTAAATTCCAATGGATGTGTACATGATTTATTTTCTAGTTTTTATTGGCTTTGATGCTTTGATGCTTTGATGCTTGATGCTTTCATGTTTGGACCTTTTGCGGACTATACAGTTTGGGGTTTTCTCTATGTTGAAGACTGTACTTTGACCTATAGTTGCTTAAATCCACTCTGTCTGATAGTTGTTTAATTGGCAATCATAGCACATCTCTTCATTAATATTTGACCTTATATTATGTGTCGTTCACAACAATTTGATATTTAACATTTTTTCTCAGTTTTTAGCCTTCTTTCTAGATTACTTTACTGGTATTTGGCTACTAATTTGTATAATGGTTAGTTACTATCACATTTGAGTTTCATTTTGTCTGACCACTATTTTTACCTAATTGGAAATTTCACGAAAATGATATTTAAACATTTTTCCTATATTGTTAGACCTCCTTGGATAATTGGTATGTTTAACGCTCTGTTTGCAGCAATTTCAATGGATATTAACCCTTATTAATGAGGGTCCAAACATTTTACTGATAAGGTGCCATGTTCCGTTTTTTGGTAATTAGCTAAAATAAATCATTTAATCTTTATCAAAAATGTTCCCTGTTAAATGTTTTACATTTTCATCTTTAGAAAGATTCTTCTAATAAAGTTTCATCTTGAACATGCATGTATGGTTGCCTATAATTGCTTACATCCACTTCATTTGAACTTGGGTGGATAGTTGTCTCATTGGCAATCATACCACATCTCCTTATATTTATATGAAATATTTGCCACTAAATGTTAGGCAACCACCAATCAATCAATCTAATAAAGTTTATAATTTATCCTTGTAGGATATGGGACCAATAGATAGTCTTGAAACTAAGATATTAGTCTCCGAACATTAAATGTATAAAGTTCTTTTTTCCTCCTATAACGATTGATAATTGTTTTTGAAAATAATTGTACGACACTGAAGATGAATAGCTGTAGGGTGCAGTGTGGTATACAGGAATTTTCATTTCCATAACTAATTCATGTTAAAGTTTTAATTCTATTGTCAAATTATATTTTTTTTTCATTTTTGAGGCATATTCTTTTGACATTTCAATTTTAGAACATGTAGAGGGTGAACTAATTTTAGACATCTTCTCTTTACATGTCATTAGAACAAGCAATTATCTGAATCTGGAAAAAATTTGAATTCTGGAAAATTGAAAGAAATGTATGATGAAAACTAACCCAATTAAGGAGGGTTAGACATGCATGCATGGCAAAGGTGGTTAGTTAGTTCATACTGAAATATCAGCTTTCTATTTAGTTGGGTTTGATTTCATTATACATTAATCATCAATTTTTTTCCAGAAATCAAAATTATTCCAGATTCAAATAATTCCTTGTTATTAATGATTTGATAAGGAAAGAAATAGAATTTTCAAAGAATGGTTCTAGTGCACTTTAATTCAATCTATATTTTCATATTTTCAAGAAAAGGTCACTGGAACTGTTCTTCTTCATTATAAAAGAAATAAAGAAATTAATTCATTCTTAATTGCAAAAATACACTTATACTGTTAAAAAAACTAGAGGCTCAAAGAGCCTGTGTTGCTCACCTTGGTCTATGTGCATATTAAACAAAGGACACAGATGGATTCATGACAAAATTGTGTTTTGGTGATGGTGATGTGTTTGTAGATCTTACTTTACTGAACATTCTTGCTGCTTACAATTATCTCTATCTATAATGAACTTGGCCCAGTAGTTACAGTGGAAAATATTTTGTAAAATTTTACAAAAATTTACGAAATTTATGAAAATTGTAAAAAATTGACTATAAAGGGCAATAACTCCTTAAGGGGTCAATTGACAATTTTGGTCATGTTGACTTATTTGTAGATCTTACTTTGCTGTACATTATTGCTGTTTACAGTTTATCTCTTAATCTATAATAATATTCAAGATAATAACCAAAAGCTGCAAAATTTTCTTAAAATTACCAATTCAGGGGCAGCAACCCAACAACGTGTTGCCTGATTGGTCTGAAAATTTCAGGGCAGATAGATCTTGACCTAATTAACAATTTTATCCTTGTCAGATTTGCTCTAAATGCTTTGGTTTCAGAGATATGAGCCAAAAACTGCATTTTACCCTATGTACTATTTTTTAGCCATGTTGGCAATCCTGGTTCGCGGGCGGGGTCATTGGACACATTTTTTAAACTAGATACCCTAATGATGATTGTGGACAAGTTTGGTTAAATTTGTCTTAGTAGTTTCAGAGGAGAAGATTTTTGTAAAAGATTACAAAAATTTACGAAAAATGGTTATAAAGTGACTATAAAGGTCAATAACTCCTTAAGGGGTCAACTGACCATTTTGGTCAAGTTGACTTATTTGTAGGTCTTACTTTGCTGAACATTATTGCTGTTTACAGTTTATCTCTATCTATATCTATAATAATATCCATCCCAACTTGACTCAGATTGTTTATTGATTATGTCAATCATACTGGCATTATGCAATATATTACATACAGTATAAATGTTCATTATGATGTAACTTTTTATATTATATGACAAATAAGGGGTTCCACCCAGATTTGGTGGTTCTCTGATAATGGAAATGTGATACTGAAGTACAACCCTATGACCTATTTAATAAACTGTTGACACAGAGATATGCTGCGCCTGTATGTAATCTTAAAAATCAATCTCAAATTTTGAAATTTAAATAGCAATACTTTACATGTAAAATATGCAAAATTTTGAAATTCAACTAGACATCATTGAGATTGGAGCAATCACTGTGGGCTCTGCTGTAAATAATGTGTGGTAAAAAATTTGTATGGATAAGCTGATATGAAGCACTTTTTTAAGTTATTACATAGTCTCGTTATGTGCTGAGAGTGATTTTATTCTATGTTTTTTAGATAAAGTGTTACATTTGGCCTAGGAAGTTGTACATACATTATGACACATCCTCTAGTGTTGGTTAATATACATGTCTATAAACTTTGAAATCATAACGGTTCTCAAGATATAGAGCGGACATGATCTGTACCATAGGACATGGGGTTGTCAACTGTAACCAAAGTTTTTTACCTTGACCTTTGACCTAGGACGTTGTGCATACGTTATGACACACCCTCTGGTGTTGGTTAATATACATGTCAAGCATTATTTTTGAAATCATAACGGTTCTCAAGATATACAGCGGACACGATCTTTACCATAGGACATGGGGTTGTCAACTGAAACCAAAGTTTTTGACCTTGAACTTTGACCTAGGAAGTTGTACAAACATTATGACACACCCTCTGGTGTTGGTAAATATACATGTCAAGTATAAAGTAAGAAATCATGACGGTTCTCTAGATATAGAGCGGACACAATTTGTTACGGATCGACTGAAACCAAAGTTTTTGACCTTGAACTTTGACCTTAGAAGTTGTACAAACATTATGACACACCCTCTGGTGCTGTTTAATACACATGTCAAGTATAAAATATGAAATCATAATGGTTCTCTAGATATAGAGCGGACACAATTTGTTACGGACGGACGGACGGATGGATGGACGGACAGACACTGATCACTATAGGGCGACCCGCCACTAGGCAGGGCCCTAATGAACCATGACTAAAGGTACAGGGCCAAAAAATTTCCTTGGAAATAAGATAAGCTTATGATAATACAACTGCATACTAAGCAATTGTTTCAAAGTCAATAGACCATGACTGAGGGGGGAGAGGGCAAAATAATCTTCATGCCAATGCTTTTATAACTGCATACCAAATATTATTGACTTATCATAAGTTGTTCCCCTTACTGACCTAATCATAAACTTTTAACACGAAAACTATGCAAAAGTTTCAAAGTTAATTAATAGACCATAACTGAGGAAGCAAAGCCAAATAATCTCCATGGAAATGCTTATACAACTGCATACCAAATATAATTACTGACCATTTGAGGTTCCCCTCAAACTGACCTAATCACAAACTAACATTTAAACTAAGGAACTTGTTTAAAAGTTAATAATTCTTAAATGATTTGCATATCTACAAATATTTGTTCCCCCCTTGGTGTTTACTTCAATAGACCATGTTGCCAAAACTACTTTCATAACCTTCACTGTGTTCTATTCATTCGCGATAAAAATGCATAGGATCCAGGGTTGCAAGCAATTTGAAATAAAAAAAAAGTTCTAACAGTGACAGTTATTTCTATTATAATGCATAACAAAAAGAAATAATGCATTAAAGCTCAGAAAATGTATAAAATTAAAATAAGATGAAATTCCACGAAATTTTTTGAATGATTTTGCCACATTAACGTCATGACAAAACATGAGTCATACAAATGAAAACTCTCAAGCTAAAAAATTATTGTTATTTGTATGCTTCAAATTCGGATAATATCTCATTAAAATGAGTTTTTGAGGTTTTTGGGGTAGGTGTTATTTCAATTTGGATTCTATTGCATTAATCGACATTTATGGATTTCAGAAAGTCAATATGGCACCTAACTCCTTAGTTATGACATGTCAATAAGTGCATTTGATAGTAAATAGTAGCTAATGAACAAATCAATGGAGAATGAGTCCATGGGACACAGATGATAACCCTGCTTGCATATCAAGTTATAAACTGCAGAACGGTAGAAGTGACACCACACAAATTTGAACTTGATCTGTGTTTTGTGTAATAAACATTGTGTATAAGTTTCCTAACATTTGATTGAGGCAAACTAAAGTTAGAGCATGGAAACCAATTTTGGGACATATGTACATACAGACGAACAGACAAGGGTAACACTTAATGCCCCCTCGGGTGACGGCAGGGGCATAAAAATTGTAACAGTAAATTCAGAAATCATTGCGAGGTTTTTATTAATGCGAATAATGCGACTGGGTAAGTATCTCAATAATAAGAACTCACATTCTTGTAACTTAAACATAGATCTGTATGCAGATTTATTCTAAATCGCAATAATTTAACTCACATTTTTGCCCATTCTTGAAAAATTGCTATAATAAATGCACGCAATAATTTCTGAATTTACAGTAATTAAAAATTGCAAATGTTTGACTAAAGAATTATAGGAATGAATATTTTATTCAGGAGGTTATTGGTGTGTAAACTGGGTCGCTTACTCACAAACTCTAGTCAGTCTGTGAGTTAATAGCCCCAGTTTACGCATCAATAACCTCTAGAAAAAATGTGTTTAATCCTATAGTAGACCATGACTGAGGGGGCAAGGCCAATTAATCACCATGGAAATGAGATGTGCCAATACTTATAAAACTGCATGCCAAATACTGTTGACTTACAGTATGTGGCTCCTCTTAACTGACCTAATCACAAACTTAACAAATCATTGACGGCAACCTTGCTGGAAACAGCAGGCCCAAGTCTAGCTTTTTCAAGATATTTAGTTATACTTTCACGTATTTGAGGTATACCACAAAATTTCATATTTCAAAATTTCTTCGATAAAAACAACTTTCCAACTTTTATTTTTCGTGGGTACCAATTTTCATGGATTAAGGAAAATTAGAGTTTTCATGGATATTTGATTTGATGGTTTTACCAAAGTCTGTATACATTCCTATGGTAATTTGTTGAACATTTAAATTCAGGGTTTCCTATTACCCATGAAATCCACAAAAATAGTAGATCAATACTGATTGTCTGAGACACTGCTGATTAAACATTTTGTATAAATTTCATAAATATCTGGCAAGAAATGTCCCTTAGGAGAGTGCTTACAACACAGTTTTCTACAGAATTTACATTTCTGAGGTACATAACTCATGTAAAAAATAATGGATCAGCACTGATTTTGCAAAGTTCTCATCAAAGACATTGCTTTGAAATTTTCTATAAAATTATATTTCCAAGGTGCATAACTATTTCAAAATCGTTGTTTCGGCACTGACTTTTTAACTTGTCTGAGACATTGCTGATACAAACCTTTCATATAAATTTCATAAATGCCTGGCAATTTTCTATAGAATTCACATTTCCCACTAATTTTTTAACATGTCTGAGACATTATTGTATAAATGTCATAAAAATCTGGCAAGAATTGTCATGTGAGAGCGCTTACAAGACCGGATGGACAGGTGACGCCCAGTATTTGTAGGTCGCTGCAAGGCATCATGTTAGGGACAAAAAAATATATAATTAAATTTTTTCTGCATTTTTGATATAGCAGTACACACTGAATGCAAAAGAAATATATAGGGGTCCATGTGTATATTTTTAGGCTAAAAGCAAAACCCAGTTTCTTAATTGCTGAAGATCAATTTTTTTCTTTCTGTGCAGTATATTCTGAATGCAACAACTTTGTGCAGCTTACTCCTCTGTACATCAAAACTTTATACCAATTACTGTCATAAATTGGAACTAATTGATGATAGAATAGAAAACAGTCCTCATTGGCCTAGAATAGTATGCCTCTGCCATAGGTTTTGTGTGCTTAAATATACTGCAAGTTCATTTCCCTTTGCAAATGATTTCAAATAATGATCATGTTGGTGAATTTCTGCCAATCTAAGATGCTTATCAATAGCTACATTAAAAAACAACCCATCAAATTTGGTCATGTTATTATCTGCCCCTGCTACTGTATCATATGCCCTTAAAAATATATATAGAATTTTATTTGAAACGATCCAGATAATTAGCCTGGAACTTGTCCTGAATTCTACATCTAGTTTAACATTTCTTTTCAAGAACAAAAATTATTATTCAAAATAACATTATTTTCTTTTAGAAATGCAGTCTATGAACAAATATAGTATACTTTAAGAGAAACAGGTTTTAATCCTTCAAGATGAACTAAAAATATGACAAAATGTGAATATTTTTTACATACTAAATTCATATGAAATTTCTTTGTTCCCCAAGTTATACCCCAATATGTCTAAAAAAACACTTGTACAATAAATGGGGAATGTGTCCATGGGACACAGATGATGCCCCCGCTTGCATATAAAGTTATAAAGGGACATAACTCAAGGAAGGTAAAAGTGATGCTACCCAAATTTGTACTTGATCTGAGTTTTGTGGTAATAAGCATTGTGTGTAAGTTTCATAACATTTGGTTGAAGCAAACTTAAGTTAGAGAACGGAAACAAAAAAATAAGCAATTTTTCCATTAGGTTGAGGCAAACTAGAACGGTACAAGTGACGCCACCAAAAGTCAAATTTGATCTGTGTTTTGTGGTAATAAGCATTGTGTATAAGTTTCATAACATTTGGTTGAGGCAAACTAAAGTTAGAGAACAGAAACCAATTTCGGGACATACGGATGGACGTACAGACAGACAAGGGTAAAACTTAATGCCCCCTCTACGGCGGTGGCATAAAAATGATTTGGATTGGTTTACCTGTAAAATTGTGAAATTTTCCAACACACTGTTCATCATATATTTTTCTGGTAAGTGTTTTAATTTGTGTATGAAGTTAATCATGTATTCACACATTGGAGATCGATGAATTCGATATACAAAGCGGCCATTTTCATACCGTGGATACTCAGTCTAAAAATATAAATATAATAGCTTATCAATTATGCAGCACTTTTGCAGCTGTGAAGAGTAGTATTTTACTTGGTAATGCATTATATTTTCAAAACAAAAAGTATAAAATAAAATTGAGAATGGAAATGGGGAATATGTCAAAGAGACAACAACCAGACCAAAGAGCAGACAACAGCCGAAGGCCACCAATGAGTCTTCAATGCAGCGAGAAAATCCCGCACCCGGAGGTGGTCCTCAGCTGGCCCCTAACTAAAATTGTGTGCTTTCATGTTAATATATAATTTTTTGACTTTGTAGTTTCAAAGTTTTGCAGCTTTGTCACTGCAATTTTAATGATATTTATGTTTTATTATGCAATGTCATGATATTTATTGTATTACATGCACTAATAACATTTTCAGGCTTCAACTTTTCACACTTTATCACATACTAAAAACAAAAGCCAGTACACAACAATATATATCAAAATAATGCACAAGAGTTGATACAATAAAATAATTTGCCTGTTGAAATATTGATTACATTATAGAAGGCAATGAACTCTCAAACTGAGGACAGCTCAATGGGTCAATCATGTCAATGGAATTCATTCTTGACCTATCATGTAAAATTACAGAGAGAAACAGACTTCACCCTGAAAACTTAAAATACCACTTGAGTGTGAAATTGACGTTAAGGTCATACAGCTCATGACAGAGAGTCATGCAAAGAATTTACAGAAAAAATATTGTCGACCTATAAATTAGTTACAGAGTAACAGACCTCATACGGAAATCTTAGCCTGACCAGTGGAGCATCACATTGGGGTCAAGGTCATATGAAAATTGTCAAAACAGGCATATACCCCTGGCAGCATATCCATTTACCAAATATTCATATGTATCATGTACAGTTTCTGACAAACAGATCTTATCCTGAATACTAAACCGGGTCACTGAAGTGTGAAATTAGAGTCAAGGTAATGTTATATACATGTATGTTAGACAGAGATATATTCCTTTTAGCCTGACTATTAGATTGTAAAATATAGGTAAATGTCATATAGTATATGTCAGATATATTCTCCTTGCATCCATTTACAAGAAATGATGTTTCTCCCAGTTTAACAAGCATTCTGAGAGTATTGCATGGCAATACATAATCCCCTACTGGTTAAAAATTCATTGTACTAAAACAAAATGCTAACTTGATCTATAACTTGTCATGGTGTAAACTATATAACAAACATCAAATCAATAGGTCAGAGGACACAGTTATCGGCCTTTGATTTTCGTTGTTTACAAATATAGTCTCTAGTGTGGACAGTGTATAACTTGCAAATTTTTTTCATACCCTTTCCAAATTTATTTCTTTATATTTTGTGCAGGAATTATTAAGAAGGGGGATGAAATTACCTGCAAACAAAAATTTGGGTGATCAATTTTACGGTAAAGTAGTGATTTGGTCCAGTTGAAATACTGTGGATTCATTATTATTCATTGGATACCAATTTTCGTGGATTTCGCGGGTACTGGTAAACCACAAAATTAAATGTTCAACGAATAACAAATTTCCTTTAGGCTTGTATGTAGACTTCGGCAAAACCACGAAATTAAATATCCACGAACATGTAAGTTTCCCTTAACCCACGAAAATTGGTACCCACTAAAATAAATTAATCCACAGTAGGTCAAAAATTAGTATGTCTGAAGCTGTCAAACTGAATTACAGACCCCCTTAACATAGAATTGTCCATATTTTGAGTTGGACTTTTCTATAATTTGGATATAATTTGTCCTACACTGTAAAAATATTTTTGAGATAGAGCAGGTATGATTTTTTAAATTTGAATTTATTGTCTAAAAGAAATGCACTACGAAATAACTGTGTTCTCAGGCCTAAGAGATGAATTCAGTAAATGTAGATTCAGCACTTTGTCAACTTCCCTGAATGTTTTGCAGTGTTAATTTGTCAAACTGAATAAAAGTAAAGGATTTACATCTTTATATGATAGAAATTCTGTAAAAATGTCCCATTTAGGCATTATATGGCCAAAATAAGCACTTTTAAGCAGTTTGCTGACTTTGTATCTGATAGGTTTTTATATTTTGATATTTGTGTTTCTATGCTAAATTCAAGTTTCAGTAATCATTTGTGAACTCTGAATATAGAGAAAAGTAGATTATCACAGAAAAATGGGCAAAATATGTTGTATTTATGGTCCTGGTCGGACGGCCTGATTTGATGCATGTGAAATCTGAGGAGTTAGGTACATAATAGTTGGTCCATCATAAATATTTCACTAATTCTGTAAAAAAAGCACTTTACAATGAGTCATTTCACACACTAACTTTATTTAATATATGCCTATTGAGACTAAAATTGCATGCAAATTTTCCATCATAAAATGAAAAAATTCTGCATCAGACCATACTGGCTGCAAAAAAAGTTCAATGAAAGAGTCCTTTTGCATTCATACTTTTTTTATCATGACATTTCAGCATAGAAATGAGCAAAAAGTAACAAATTTATATTTTTTATAGCATCTGTATGCATTTTTATATATAAATATGCCCTGTTAAGGCCTAAATTGACCCCAAATAATTTTCAGTCTTACATGGCCTAAGATCATTTTATACTCATGTGGTATGCTATTTGTAACTCTTTTTCCATTTTAAGTTCATTAAATGTATGTGACCAGCCATTAGATTTTCAGGCTTATGGAGGTACCATGGTCAAAATGAGTTTTTTGCAAATTTTATGAATCTTACATAGATTGAAAACACACAAGTTATTTTGCTAGATTCTGCAAAATAACAGAATTATGGTAATTTTTGTTACTTTTGATTTTATTAAAAATATTCATTTATTTTCAATTTTTCACATGTATGTTCATCTATCATATTTATCTATGAAACTTGTAATATTGTTTTATTTTAATTTTTCTATATCAACCATACGGTTGCCATAGCAAAAAGGTACCGGAATTGCAAAAAAAAGTGATACAATTGGACTAAATAATTCCAGCCTATAAAAGGCTTTATTCTACAATTTTCCCCTCATAATTATATTTAAGAGATGATTAATTTTGTATCACCATCGATGAACTTACCTCTACCTTTTCTACAACTTGTTTTCCAAATGAACACACTTTAGTTGAACAATTAATGGGTACATTTTCATTTCCTTCATACTGGCTTGTCACGCCATAAAATGCACCACTTTCATCAGCTTCATTGGTATTAATGTCAGCCTACAAATATATCAGAACATGTAATTGTGAAAACTCTAGTGGACATCAGAGTCAGCTAAATATCTAATAATAGTTTGTAAGGGGTTCCACAGAACCCTGTGTCTCCTCTGCAATTTAATACTGCTGTCAGGGTAAAAGTGTAATGTTGACTTAAAAAGTGAGTGCATTTATCAGTAAAATACAGAATTTTAATAAAATGCTTTGCCGAGCGCAGCCTATACGACCTCATAGATCAAACCCTGAACAGTTGGGGCAAGTTTGGACACAATATTCAAGCTTGATACTGTATAAAATTGGACTGTGATCAATTTTTTGACATAATATAGGTTTCTGACACAAAATAAATGTGGTCAAAGATCTTAAAAATTTGAAATGGGACATTTAATTTACCTAGTATGGTCTGAAATCCAAAATCTAACAACATGGTTATATTAAGCATATAAAAAAACACCAAAAATTAAATTTTAGTTGAAACAAGCATTCCGAGAGTATTGCATGGCAATACATAGTCCCCTACCGGGTAAAAATTCATTATACTGGAACAAAATGCTAACTTGTTCTATAACTTGTCATGGTTTAAAAAAAATTGAAATCAAACAAAGTTTCATTTTGGACCCATTAAACCTTAATATGGACTAATTTGAAAACAGGGCCCAAAATAAAAAAATCTAAATGCACAATAAGCATATCATAGAGCCGCAATAATTCAGTTTTTGATGAAATCAAACAAAGTTTAATTTTGGACCCTTTGGACCTCAATGCAGACCAATTTAAAAATGGGGCACCATGTTCAAAATAGTAATACAAGGTTAGAACCCCCAAAAATTAAAGACTTTAAATTAATCCCATTGAAATTGGTTAAAAGATTTGTATTTATTTTCAATTGAAGATACTAGCTATTGCGCAATACAGACCTGCCAACTTTTGAAAATCCCCATGGGGGATTTAGTGCGAGACCAAATTTTTAAGGATATCATTTTGCGGCGTTTTTGTGTGCAGTTTTATACTCTTGAAATAGTCTCAAATCTCTTCTTTTTTTTCTTTTGGTATACTGATGATGAGCTAACAAGCCTTGATTTCTTTTATTTGCATGATTCTTGTACTTATTAATTGGCAAAATAACTTAAGAATAGAGAAAAATGGCCTAATAAAATAAAGGATACAAAATGAAGACCCCCCTCTCCCCCTCCAAAGACCTTATTTTAATCTTTCCACCATGCCTCAAAAGACCTAAACCTAAATGTCCTAAAGTTAGAAGGATTGAAACAGATCTTCAGTTAGTTATCAGTATTGAGAAAATGGATAAAATTTGAGTTATCTTTCTTCGTATTCAAAGGTGCTCCTACCGGCGGAGGCTTATACACAATAGAAGTGAGTACAATATGGCGTCAATTTATAAACAGAACTGGACAGAAACACGTCTGATTACAAAAAATTTCACGGATTTCAAGATAAACGATGTTTTATAATGAGTTCATTACAGTTTTCGTCTTTCAGTTAATTACATTTTTTTGTCATGATACTATGGTAAACGTTGCAAATTGTGATCGTATGATAAATTGATTAAAATTGAAATGCCGAATGACCGATTCTATTTACAAATTAATTAATTTTGAGGATCTTTATGACCCATCGGATAAGCAGATTACCTGTGACAACAGATTATGACACCTATTGTGACCTTTGATTAACTTGGGGTCGTAAACTTGTCATAAATATGTTGCCAGGTAAAATTATAGATTTACAGAAATTGATCAGAAAAACTTCAAAATCGGTAACCAACAATTTTTACGGGTAGATTTTGTGAAAATCAGGATTTTGACTTGTTTTACGATCCCGGTATTGGGATTCGGTTTGAGGCATGAAAATCAGGATGATACCGCCAAAATCAGGATAGTTGGCAGGTCTGGCAATACTGTGCAATTGGAGATTTGTCATAGGTGCATTTTCCTCCCAGTGTTTTTAAAGTATTTTTCAGTATTTCATATACATTTTTCTGTATGTTAGATAATTTAAGAATTATTTGTTCATAATCAAAAGTTTGCTTTATTAAGGAATTAAGTTTATTTTTCAGTTTTCTAATTTAATGGTACTTTAATTAAATTACCTATGGCTAATTAGAAACATTTGTATATGTCACACATGTCTTTGAGTATTTCTCTTTTTCATAGTTATTGTTAATTTAGTAATTAGGTAGACAGATGTCATTTGATAATTAGAGTTTAATCCTTTAATTGCATTTGATCTTAATTTCACTATTCATATTTTTACATTTGGCATTTTATATACAAAATCATTATTACTCGGATTAATTTGAAATTTATGTCTCAGCTTGAGTTCTTTTCAGTTTTGGTATAAATAGTTCGTAGAAATTTTGATACTTCACTATTAGTCACAGTCACAGTTACAGTAGGGAATAAAATGCTCCGCAGGGCGCAGCTTGATACGACCGCAGAGGTCGAACCCTGAACAGTTGGGGCAAGTATGGACACAACATTCAAGCTTGATACAGCTCTGAATTTGGATTGTGATTAAATAGTTGACACAGCATAGGTTTCTGACACAGAATGAATGTGGTCTAAGAACTTATAATTTTTTAAATTAGACATTCACCTATTATGGTCCAATATCCAAAATCTAAATACATGGTTAGATTCAGCATATCAAAGAACCACAAGAATTCAATTTTTGATGAAATCAAACAAAGTTTAATTTTGGACCCTTTTGATCTCAATGTGGACAAAGTTGATAACGAGGCCCAAAAATCAAAAATCTAAATACATGGTTAGATTCAGCATATCAAAGAACCCAATATATTCAATTTTTGTTGAAATCAAACAAAGTTTAATTTTGGACCCCGATTTGGACCAACTTGAAAACTGGGCCCATAATCAAAAATCTAAATACATGTTTAGATTCAGCATATCAAAGAACCCTAAAAATTCAATTTTTGTTAAAATCAAACTAAGTTTAATTTTGGACCCTTTGGACCTTTATGTAGACCAATTTGAAAACGGAACCAACAATTAAGAATCTAAATACACGGTTAGATTCGGCATATCAAAGAACCCCAATAATTCAATTTTTGATGAAATCAAACAAAGTTAAATTTTGGACCCTTTGGACCTCAATGTGGACCAATTTAAAAACGGGGCCCAAAATCCAAAAACTTAATACACAGTTAGATTCAGCATATTAAAGAACCCCAAGAATTCAAGAATAAAACCCCATTGAAATTGATCAAGAAATAAGCAATTTATACGAAGTATCTTCTTTTGCACAATACTGTGCAATTGAATATTTCTTGCAATTGCGCAATACTGTACAATTGACAATTTCTTGCTATTGCCCAATATTGTGCTATTGGATATTTCTTGCTATTGCGCAATACTGTGCAATTGAAGATTTCTTGCTATTGCGCAATACTGTGCAATTGAAGATTTCTTGCTATTGTGCAATACTGTGCAATTGAAAATTTCTTGCTATTGCACAATACTTATTATATAATAATTTACACATCCTGTTTGGTGTGTATCTCCTACCATATCATTATTATTTGCTTTTAAATATAAATCAGAAATAACCAACTTAAAATGGAAAATTTTAAAAGAAAAAAAAAAGGAAAAAAAGAAAAAAAAAGAAAAAAAAAAGGAAAAAAAGAAAAAAAAAGAAAAAAAAAAAATCCCCCCCCAAATTTTTTGAACCCCCTTATGATTCATCACCCCCAAACTCAATCCCAGCCTTCCCTTTGTGGTATGGTACCTTGCAGCACAATTTCAGAGAGATCCATACGCTTGAACACAAGTTATTGTCTGGAAACTAGAAAAATGCTTATTTTTGGCCCCTTTTTGGCCCCCAATTCCTAAACGTTTCGGGCAATTACCCCCAAACTCAATTCCAGCTTTCCCTTTGTGATATGGAACCTTGTAGTACAATTTCAGAAATATCCAAACACTTACACACAAGTTATTGTCATGAAACTAGAAAAATGCTTGTTTTTTGCCCCTTTTTTTTGGCCCCTAATTCCTAAAATTTTGAGGCAATTACCCCCAAAATCAATTACAGCCTTCCCTTTGTGATATGGAACCTTGTGGTACAATGTCAGAGAGATCCATACACTTACACACAAGTTATTGTCTGGAAGTTACAAAAATGCTTATGTTTGGCCCCTTTTTTGCCCCTAATTCCTTAACTGTTGGTACCATAACCCCCAAAATCAATCCCAACCTTCCTTTCGTGGTATTGAACCTTATGGTAAAATTTCATGGAGATCTATTCACTTAAACTAAAGTTAGAGTGCAAAAACCAATGTGTCTTCGGACGACGCCGGACGACGCCAGACGACGACGACGACGATGCCAACGTCATACCAATATACGACCAAAAAATTTTTAATTTTTGCGGTCGTATAAAAAGTCACTACAGAGTCACCAGAAAATCAGCATGTAGGGACAAGTAACATCATAGTCACTTAGGTGACCATCAAGTAACGACAGTAAGTGATTTCCAGGAACAGAGTACCTACAAGCCAAGTAGGAGAAAAGAAGTCAGCTTCACAACTGTGACCAAACAGTTCGCTCTTCAGTATCTAGCCGGCGCGGCAACTCAGGATATTCATTTGCTATCAAGGATGTGTTTTAAGACCCAACAACTGGAACAGACTCAACTTAACTATACAACAACTGGTACAGTTACAGTTAACAACAGTGTGGAAGGAGTTTGGAGTGAACCTACAGAGTAGCGTCTGTATCCAGTCTTGGCTATGCAATCAATTTTCAGTTATAACAAGATTGGCCACCAATCAACTGGATTCATTGTACGCCTCCACCAGACAACATGGGACAGACTAACAGCTCAACGGCATAAGACCTTCAACTCAAGATACCGTTTCAACTAAGTGACTCTAACATCTAAACAACTTTGGACAATTCAAATCAACCAACCTACTCATCGATCAGAACATTTCCATATTAGTGATTCAGACATTCTCAACCTTAAAA